CCCCTCCCCCCATATAGTGACCCCAGTACCTGATCTCTATACTGACCCCTCCCCCCATATAGTGACCCCAGTACCTGATCTCTATACTGACCCCTCCCCCCCCGTTACCCTCCAGAGTCTTGTTAGTCATAGTGATCACTCGGGGTGCTGAACCCCAACCTGCGCTGTCCCCATGGTGGGGTGAGGGGTCTGGTCACTGTCCATGTATTGACTTCTGATTCTCTCTTGTAGATCCGTTGTACTCATTATCCAGCGAGAAGGACCATGTACAGACCACGTACAAGACACACGTGTCGTATGACAGAGTGGTGAGTAGTCCCGGGATACACGGGCCCAATCCAGAACCTACAGGGCCTATAGGAGGATACATCTGTGATATCAGACCCGTCTATAGGTGCCGACAGCTTCCTCCGATGTCACTGCACACAGGGAGCCTCTCACAATCTGCATTACAAGCTGCAGCAAGTCAGATAGAGCCAGCATCCTCTAACCCTTTTCTCCCCAGCCTGTCTGTCCCTGGCCCCTCCCCTTTTCATTCATTGCATTTGAGTTCTTTCAATCATGGCGGCACATGTGGGCGTTACCTAGGGAGGTCTGCATGCAAATACAACCTGCCAAGGAACGCCCTTTCCTCCAAACAGACACCCACCCATCAAGTCCTTTTTATATTTGCATAACTCCTCCCAAGAGCCCGCCCACTGCCTGTGTGAGGGATGAGAACACTCGAGAGGATTGCTGAGGCAGGGTCCCGCACACCAGCCATGATCCGCCTGCATCGCATAGAGAAGCACCAAGACCCGGTGATGACATAAAATAAGGTTTCAAGGATTACTCTAGCATGGATTTAAATTTTAGTTACTTTAAAAAGAACCAGACTTTCCAAATTGTGCATTCACACGGTGGGAGCAGTGGATGGTGCATGCATTATTGTGTGTGGGGGGGTGGGGTGGGGGTGGGTTACTGGTGGAGAGTGCCGGGTGGGGAGATGTGTAAGGGCTCTGCATCTCCCCACCCAGCTCATAGCAACCTGTGTCACCCTGGCCGGCGTCCCACCGAGCTCCTGGCAACCAGTGACATCACCGCTTGGCAGGATGCCGCTCTGCTTGCCACCCCCCCATGTGACCCAAAAGAGATGCCGCCCGAGGCAACAACCTCCGGGCTGCCTCATTAAAGGGACAGCCAACGATCACACACTCCAACTCGCTGTCTCTATTCTTCTTTCCACCCAGCAAATGGTTCCAGAATACCCCACAATGTTCAGCGAACTGGTCCACCATCCTCGCTACACTCTGCGCCTGCAACTTAAAGATCCCGTCCCGCCGTTTATCGATCGCCAGTGGCGAGGAAGAGGGCAGCAAAGGCTGCTGGCTCTCAGGCAGCTGGCAGGGTGAGTGATACATCTGGGTGACCAGCAGAGGGCAGTACAGTGCCAAGTGACATCTCAGACCCAAGACAACCCACACACCATGCCGCTAACAATACACAGAGGGGCCGCAGAGCCGACAGCCGCGCCAAGAAATCACATTGAGGTTTCCGCGGGATACAACACTTACACTCTTCAAATACTGAGCTCGTCCTAGCGGGTTTAGGTGTTGTTTCCATGACACTGCCGTCCTGTGTTCCAGATCTCAGCCTGCGCTCACAGCAACCCAGCAACACGCGGAGAATGAAGACGTGTCTGGACGTAACCGATACAGATATTTTGAGAGGTGAGGGTCAGAGTATGTCAGAGACTGGGGTCAAAGTACAGGAGATGGTCAGAGACTGGGGTCAAAGTACAGGAGATGGTCAGAGACTAGGGTCATAGTACAGGAGATGATCAGAGACTGGGGTCAAAGTACAGGAGATGGTCAGAGACTAGGGTCATAGTACAGGAGATGATCAGAGACTGGGGTCATAGTACAGGAGATGATCAGAGACTGGGATCATAGTACAGGAGATGATCAGAGACTGGGATCATAGTACAGGAGATGATCAGAGACTGGGGTCATAGTACAGGAGATGATCAGAGACTGGGGTCATAGTACAGGGGATGATCAGAGACTGGGATCATAGTACAGAAGATGATCAGAGACTGGGATCATTGTACAGGAGATGATCAGAGACTGGGGTCATAGTACAGGAGATGATCAGAGACTGGGATCATAGTACAGGGGATGATCAGAGACTGGGGTCATAGTACAGGAGATAGTCAGAGACTGGGGTCATAGTACAGGAGATGGTCCAAGACTGGGGTCATAGTACAGGAGATGGTCAGAGACTGGGGTCATAGTACAGGAGATGGTCAGAGACTGGGGTCATAGTACAGGAGATGGTCAGAGACTGGGGTCATAGTACAGGAGATGGTCAGAGACTGGGGTCATAGTACAGGAGATGGTCAGAGACTGGGGTCATAGTACAGGAGATGGTCAGAGACTGGGGTCATAGTACAGGAGATGATCAGAGACTGGGGTCATAGTACATTGTATACAGTCAGGGGCGGCCATGCTTCTCATCTCATGGAAATGGAGCAGTGATGGAAGCGTTTGATGAGTGTGTGCATTCAGTTTGATGTCTTTCTCTGTACTCTCCTCCGGTGGCTGACATTGGCTTGTGTTGTGTTTCAGGCCCCTGATGCCGTTTTCCTATCAGGCCCCAACCAACGTCCTCCTGGCTGCCCCCCGGTGAGTACGCTCCGACTATTGGAATAGATGATGAAGAAGTAGCAATCATCTGAAGAGCCGTCCTCGGGCTCTGTGCAGACGGACGTTGTTCTCCTCCATGTGACATGCTCGGCAGATTCCCCCTGACCTCAGTAGCGCCGCGTGGATGACATTCCCGCATCGGACCTGCTGTGCGCTGCGCTGCCTCTCTCTGAACGCAGGAGGTCCTGTTGAGATGATTTTGCGTTGACGGCCGAATGCGTTCTTTTGCTGCGATTTGCGTTTGAACGCACGGCTCAGATCAGCGGTCGCCAACCAGTCTTACCTCATGGACCACTAAATTCATCATTTGAAAACACACGCGCGCACACATACACACCTTCTCTCTCTCTCTCTCTTCTCCTCCCTCTCCCTTCCCTCTCTCTCTCTCCTTCCCTCTCTCTCTCTCCTTCCCTCTCTCTCTCCTTCCCTCTCTCTCTCCTCCCTCCCTCTCTCTTCTCCTCCCTCTCCCTCCCTCTCTCTCCTTCCCTCTCTCTCTCCTCCCTCCCTCC